TGATGACACCAAATATATCAGCAAGATGAGCGCTAGCAAAGAACATCAGAGAAAGCAGAAAGGAGTTCGAACCGCCTGGAGGTGGGAGAACTGGCCCCGTGGGTTGCGCAGATGGACCCTGTTGCGGCTGGGGGTTTTGACTGGAGAAGAAGTCAGGTCAGTGGGAAGCTCTTCACACAAGATATTACACCATCAGGGAATCGCCCCAGATACATACCTGAATGAGCCCATGGGACGAGGTTGTTGGTTCATCTGGTCCATCCCCGGATGCGCTGGCGGGCCACCGGGGTGCCAGTTATCGTTCCCAGAAGAGTTCATGGTCTATGTGCATGAAGAGAATTCCAGCAATATGCCTTGACGTGGCGAAGAATAGGTCTGTGGCAGACCAGGCAGAGAGAATGGTTTGCTTGTGAGGAAAATGGTGTTGGGGACTCCAACACTGTTTTCCGTTCGGACGGGGGCTTGAGTTTCTGTTCCTCCCAACTCAATTTCACAGCGACATCACTGTGCCGATGCCTGCCAGCTGCAGATAGGGGAAATAGGGACAGGCCTGTGCAGGGATAGGATTGCAAGAAGGCAGAATGAAAGAGGATAAATCGACAACGAGAAAAACTCCACAAAATGACAGTCTTAGCTCCTCAATAGTGAGCGAGATCCGTGGTGATGGTTTGCGCGCAACCGATCCCGGCTGGTCTCCAGAGTGAAGGCGGAGAGGCATTTGACCGCGCTAAGCCATCTTTGGCGATAGCGTCACCCTTCGGATAGAAGGATGTTCCGGAAAAGGCGGTGAAAAAAGTGATTGGTCCAGGATGCATGACGCAGCAGTGCCTGGACCGGCTAGTCGGGCTTTGACTTTCCCGACGTCATTGACCTGATCAATCCGGCGTTGACACGCCCGACTTATCCGCCTCCCCAATAGCACCAACCAGCAACAACTTGGAACACTGTTGACCTGCCGGCATATTCTACAACTACCTAGTAGCAATTATGACCCGATACTGCCAGCCAGTCTGATACATGGTGACACTAAGTAGATTCTGACTACTTCTGACTACTGATTGAACTACTGCATTCCCGCTCTAGCCACAGTGGAAGAGGGTCGGTCGATTAAATCCCTGGCGCACATCGCGCATTCCGAGCACATCGCTGAGTAGAGAAACACGGTCACCCCCTCCACTTTCCGGGATATCTTGTCGTAGCGTGGTCCATGTTCTAAAGAAGGCTGGTAAGGGACAGAAAAGGGAGAAGGAGAACATATAACAAACCCTCTGGAGGTACCACGTAGTCTTTCTCTATCAAACCATTGAACGCCTCCCAAAAGATTCATCAAGCATCACTGGGACCACTGTAATAGGAAATATGGAAGCAACGTGGCATCCGAGTGCTCACAGACAGCAAGTGTGGAAAACAGACGGACAAAAGACTTGTAACATCATTGGGCGACCAAGCTCCAATAAAACGAAAGGGGAAGGACTTGAACTTGAACTGGCAACTTAATTTTGGATCTTCAGATGCTGCTGCTAGGAGTTTCATTTGTCTCATATCTGTCCCATGATTGTTTTGTTCCACATACTGACACGCCCTGTCCAATTATGATTATAGCCACCTGGTCGAAATACTTACAGTGCGGAGAAGACAAAGAGCTATCGCTTCAGTCAGCAAATGGACACCACAGAGTGCAGGGGCAAATGGACTCACGTTGTTGGTAGCAGCAATAGCAATACTGTCCTCATAAGGATGCCAGCTCATATGCAGGATCTTCTTGTTAAAGTCGATCTGGTCCGCATCGGTCTCCTTCTTCATCCGACTGCCAGGGCCGGCCGGGCTACCAGCTCGAGACCCATTCTTCTTTCCATTGGCACCCTTGTTCATCGGTGTCGGCACACCGACCTTCTTAGCCTTGAAAGCAGACTTGTCGGCCTGTAGCACGATCTCCGTCTCCTTGCTCTGGTCGGTGGGGTAGATCATGAAGTTGTTGTTGTAGCTTCCGGTCATGACGTTCTCCGCGTCACCCGAGAATACAACCTCGAACTTGTCAAATATGCTATCGTTCTCGTAGGTGTCGCAGAGGCGGGGTCGCAGGTGCTCGTGGATAGGAATCGTCTTCACAGGTTGTCTCTCCATGTTGACATCCCAGATCTTGACGGTCAGGTAGTCTCTTGACACGATGTATCGACCATCGTGCGAGAATCGTACGTCTGAAATCGAGGAGATGATCTCGGAGAAGAAAGAACGGGAGGAGGCGTCTTCCTCTTGTTCGAATACTAGAAGAGACGTATGTCAAGACGCGGTTTAGCAAGAAGAGGTGGCAGGTACTTACGCTTAGAGTGTTCGTCGCACAATGCTCGCTGCCGCATGTCGGCAAGCTTGATTGTGCCCTTAGAGCTGGCGTACATAAACCAGTTGCAGCTGACTGGGTGGAATTCAGCAGCTGTGATAACTTCCGTAAGTTCCTCCATGTTGGCCGGTTTGATGTCGACGATGTTAAAGCTCTGGTCTTGGATGTTCAGGTTCCACAAATTAATTCGGAGGTCATCGCTGCTAATGAAAGTCTCCCCATCGCTGTTGACGGAGATGCTATTGATGTGATACGCATGCGCGTTGGCATAGGTCCTCCGAGGAACAGCGGCCACAACCGTATCATGATGTGTCATCCGAGGAAGCTTCAACATGGAAGGGTCCTTGAAGTTCAGTCGGGGCGCACGGGGCGCGCCGCCACCACCCACACCCGCGGGAGTCAGCTCGCTCGAGAGGTTGTTCTCCGCCACGACCTTCAGAGACTTGTCGAACACCTTCCACAACTTTATCGTCTTATCGTTCGTCGAAAGGAGGAAATGAGATGCATTCTGCCGTCTGCACCATTTAATCTTGTTGATCTTTTCTTCGATCTCCAGGGATTTCAGGTAATCAAACTCCGGTTCGTGCGATTGAAACTCGGTGTGGAATTTGTATTCACAAGTTTTTTTCTGCGCGTATCATTAGATCCGACCGTCGTCAAAGGAAATTGTGGAAGCCAGTACCGTTTCGTTTCTCTCAAACAACACCACCCGTCCGCCCTTGTCACCCGTCGCTAGATAGTTTCCAGTATGGTCGAACTCGACAGTCGAGATAATATCAGCTAGACACCAGGAAAAGATCAGCTATCCGGCGGAAGCCATCAGAGCGTAGTACGGAAGGTCTTCCGAGAGGCAAATGCATGGAAATGGGTCCTAAAGGCGTACCTTCCGTGATGTCCTCAACATCTCCTTTGTCACCGAAGCACCTAGTGTTGGGATTAGTACCACGAACTAAGGCGAATTATACAAATCGAAGGAGGCGCCTCCACGCCGGCATATCCAAGTCCTTGCCAGACGGCAAGTTTATGGGGAAAGAGGGTCGCAGCGGGCTCGAGAGAAGCCTCTCCATGGAAGAGGATACTTGGCAAATGGCACTTACTGCGTGAACTTCCAGGTAGGAGTACCCGGATCCCTGTCTACCATTTTCTTCCAATTCTACCCTTTGTCGGGGCAGTGTCCAGCAGAGCACGAAGGAAGATGTCAAGATCCACAGGTCGAGGATCTTGGGTTGAGAAAATTAAGGTGGGGTTTGCCGATATCGATATGGTGCGGAGTGACTCGAGCGGGAGAACTTTTCACGCGAGGATCTATGTGGTGGGCGACTAGAAAGAGGAATCGATTGATGCGAGTCACGTAGGAACGACGACAGGTTACGCTAAGAGGGTGAAGTTTGCGTGAGGATGAGGTAGGTTCCAATGCTCGGGTAGGAAATGCAACGGGCGGAGAGGAAAGGAATCGAGGCCGTGATATCCGCCGAGAAGGTGAATTGGCAGAGATCGGGTGAGTCACTTGTATGCTGGAGAAGACGAAAGATTGACAGCCAGAGCTGACAAGATCAGAAGCCAGAAGATGGAGGAAAGAAGAGGAGTTTTTTGGTGGTCTTTTTTTTTCGTGGGGGGGTGGGATTTTAGTCGTGCCTCAAACTCCCTTCTCTCGGGTGCATCAAGATTGGAGTGGGCGGGATTATCTATGAGAAAGAGAAAGAAATCTCAAGGAAACGGCTGAAACCGGCCAGATAGAGTGGCCGATAAAATAGTGGCAAAGCAGAGAGAAGGTGGGAGTTGAAAATGCGGGATGGGGAGAGGGGGGAAGAGGAGGAGGAGGAGGGGAAGTGGGAAGGAAGAGGATGACGATACTGGGCAAGATGGAGGAGGAGAGGAGGAGGAGTGGTGAAGTGCGGTGGTGGTGGTGGTGGTGGTAGTAGTAGTAGTAGTAGTGCTGGTGCTGGTTGAGGTGAGGCGGTGGTTTGGAAACACCCGCCCGTCGGTCGGTGGTGGGTGGTGGACTGGTGGTAGTTGGTGGGGAGGGAGAGGGTAAGTGAGTGAGTGAGGAAGGAAAGGATAGGATGGATGGAGTGGCTGCCCGTAATTCTAAAAAACCCACACGCAACAACAAGACAAGTCAACCCAACTTACTCAGAGCAACTTAAGCTGGGCGCTGACATCAACCACTCGTTTTCATTTTCGACAGTTTGATAAGGCACGAAGTAGATCAATGAATCTTCCACCATCCTGGGGGTTTGTGTTGAAATATGATTCAATTCTTCATGAAGAGTTATTCTGTCTTACCTTTGTTATTGCTCTTTGCCTCTACTCTCGTTGCTCAACCGTTTTTCCTTATTCTATTCAAGCATCCGTCCACTTCCTGGTTGTTCTTCTGCACCCGGCCGTGTTGTAGCTAGAGCTTCCAGACCACCACCACCGAGCTAACTAACTACCTACTACCCAGTAATCACTACGATGGCCATTACTAACAATGAACGATGCAAAATAACTGACCATTCAGCTGCAAAGGATCTTTCCTCATCCATCACAATGGACCGGAGGATCCGTTCGGGCTTGAGTAAAGTGACAAGTGACGGACTTGAGCGATGCTCAGCTCCCAGACTCCCACTACCAAATTCCCCATCGGGCGTTTTTTGCTGCCTTGAGAATCAGGGTTTCTTTCCATCACCAGCCCGGCGGCCTGAGGCTCTTCACATGCTTGTCTTCCTCGACTCTCTATGGATCCCGACCGGCGGCGACACCGTTGAGCCGAACACTGACTACACTACGACGTACTATAACTATAGCTTTTACGGGAGAAACTAATTCAATGACAGTCCAGTGACAGTTTTGCTTTTCTTTATCGGCCGATCTCTTTGTTGTTCCCGCCACACTCATTGACAGAAATAGGTTGATCCCACCCATTCTCTCCCCGCTCGTCACGAACCATGCCCGACAACCAGAAGCGGGGCAACAGTGACGACAAACCCGCCGACCCTCACCGCAAGGAGCCCGAGCCCAAATCCTCCGCCGGGGCCAACGAAGGCGACCAGGATGGCCATTCGCTAGCCAGTCGCATCCAAGATTCCGCGTCTGGACTCGCCAGAAGTGTGTTTTCCACCTCGGGCCAGCCCTCTGCAGAGACCGCTCAATTGCTGGCCGGCAGTGGTAAAGCCTCGTCCGCCTCGTCCTCCTCACAGTCCGCCCTATCAGCAGCGCAACAATTTCACGAAACCACCGGATTGAATTCTTCGCGGACAGCAGATCAAGCACCAGTCACACAATTCGAAGCATTCCGATCATCGTCCACCACCCACGCCGGAGGGTTCGAGCTTCCCTCGCTCACAGAAGATGAATTCCAGCGCACGTATGGGGAAGAATCCCTCAACGGCAGCAATGGAATGTACCTTGCAGCATCTGCTCCAGCTGCAGCGGACTTAAGCACAGTCGACACGGGCAAAGGCAAGGGCAGATGGACACCGAGTCATCATGCTGCCGGCGAAGGGGGTCTGTCTCAGGACAAACAAGGCGGACAAGCGTCCGCCCTTCCGTCTGACGGCGCCGCAGTCGTCTCGCTCCTCTCCGATTTGACCTTCGACCCCAACTTTCCCCCGTCCGCCAACGAGCCAGCGGAGGTAATCGAGACCGAACTCTCCGCGCCAGCCCAGCTCACCCCCGCGGAGATCCAGGCTCTCGAGTCTTTTCGTCGCGTGCTTCCCACTTCTACCATCAACACACACACTACCAACCACGTAAACCCGCATAGTCTCGTTCCTGATATTAGCAGCTTCCTCGAGTCCGTCCCGTCCGCAGCCAATACAGACGCCGTGACCCTGCGCGACGCGGTCATGACGGGATTACCAGGCGCAGCGGACTGGCTCGGGGTGGAGGAGCGATACCACGACGAGGTATGGGGCTACCTGCAACCTACTCTGGAGGCCGCCGCCCAGGAGCTACAGTCCAAGGACTGGGGTGGTTCAGATGGCCAGCAGCCGGATGGCCCCGCTGTACGACGTCTGAGGATGATCTTGAAGCATATGCAGACTGGTCCTGGTGCGATGGGGGAGTAGCACTTAGTGGGGTAGATGCGGGTGCATGGTAGTGATATACCCAGATGGTCTTGCCCTGGTCCAGCATCGTCTGTAATATAGTGTGTGCAGCTGGTAGATTTGTCCATCAAGTTGAATTCATCGCGTCGCGTCAAGCGACGAGCACCTTCTTGATTTATCGGGGATATATATATCTAATTCCAGATGTCCAAATCCACGCATACACCTCGTGAGATATACACCTAACCTCAAAACCAATTCGAATGCACACAATCAAGCTATTCAACACCAACAATAGAAGAACCACAAAGCCACAAGATCAGCCAACCACAATTTCCCGAATACAGTGTCGTGCAGACAGTACAGTACATCCATCGCCCACGCAACAAAAACAAAACCTCTTCCACACTTGCCTCCATACCAGGTACCTTAGTACCACAATCACAGGCCTCTCTTGACCCACCACCGTAGTAAACAGACAATCCCTTGTCCGCTGCAGCGCCCACCACCATAATCCCCGGATATGTACACCGTATCCAGCTCCCATACTCCACCACCTTGTTCAATCACACACCTACCCCGTACCCAGCTACCCAGCTAGTAGCTACAACAATCACACCCACCCAATCACATCACCTCCTTGTTCAGTATCCAGCAACCGCCAACAGTGTCTTAGCGTAGGATAGTATACGAAACCCCCCAAACCCCCCCCTACAGCCCACCCTTTACCAAATCCACACACGAGAATGAATCCGCAATGCCTACACAGCACCACAGACCTTTTCCCACTAAATTCCCAACCAAGTAATTGGAAAGTAGTCCCTGCCTCTCTTGGAATCCAACTTAAAAGAGAAGAATTCTCTTAGAGCTTGGAGAAGGGCCGGGCCTTCATACACACCACACCACACCACACAAACGAACAAACAAATAAAAAACACGCCCAGCTACTGAAGCCCCGAACCAGAAGGACATATAGAACCCCAACGTATACCTGAGGTACCTAGTATCTAGATATGACTGTCTCCACAAGCAACCACCCCCCCACAAAAAAAAAAAGCCATGGAATGGGGTTTACAATCTTCCTCCCTATCGGTTCAAACAGGTTGGTTTTAGTTTCTACATCTCCGGGTTTCAGCACGGCCTTCGGTTGGGGTTCGGGTATGATTCTACTAGCAGGTCTACATGGGACCGGTCGACCAGGGTATATAGATAGGTAGCACGGTTGCGCTTCGGTCTTGTTGGAATCTGTGCAGATGACTATCAGGGGTGACTGATCTGATCCGCGTATATGTGTAAACTCCGAATCTCCTCGCCTCTATTCTCATTTTATGATACATGCCGACTACTACAGAATGTACATACTGATGTCCAGGACAAACCTACCTTATCTTATCCTCCTAGAGGTGAGAATAACACCCACCACTACAGCCCAAGAACACTCATGGAAAACATCACCAGACAGTTCCATACCCAATCACTAAATATTATGTACAATTAATAAGGAACCACCACCTTCGAGCCTCCAACCTGAGGGCTGGCTATGAGCCAACGACCTCCGCTCAACTCCTCTCCGACCAAATCTTCGTCTCCAGCGTCTGCAACGACTCCACTGTCAACGGCGCCACGAGCCCGATCATCGAATTGCGCCAGAGATTATTCGTCGGCGCCGGGCGCAGGCTGCTGCTACTCGACGACGTGGAGGGCGGGGTGGTCGGATACGGATGCGAATCCAGGGTGGAGGAGCTCGCGCGAGCAGCCAGAATATCACCATGGCTGCTGCTATTCGTCGCCGTCGTCGCCGTCGTCATGCTCTTCGCGCTCAGAGACTCGCCCGCCGAGGAGGTCGGTCTCGACGACGAGGACACCAACCCCGGGGTTAGGCAACTCGGATGATGCCCAAAATACGGGCTGTCGAGAGGGGCCGAAAGCTGAGTCTCGGCGCTACGGACACTACTCGCTGTCTTGGAGGCGGTCGTGCCGGTGGTGGCCTGGGATTCGGCGCGGGGGCGAAAATGTGGCGAGGAGGCCATCGTGTCAAAACTGGGTCGTCGTCGGGGGTCATCCACCGTTGTTGTTGATGTCGTCGTCGTCGTTGTCGTCACCGTAGGCCCCTCCTCCTCGGAATTCTCTTCATATTCCTGCCCGGCGGGGATATAGCATTTTGAGATCAGGTCGTTCTGGATGCACATGATCTTGTTCAATGCGCGGATGAGGGCGAACTTGAAGCGGACGGTCATTTCCGGGTGGAGCGAGATCCATTCGATCAACGCATCTTCCACGTACCGGAGGCAGGCGTTCATGTGGATGTATTCGATGTTCAACGGGTGCAGCAGTTCTTTACCGGTGTGCATCCTCCTTTTAGGGGCCATGTTAACGAACTGATGCGCGCAACATCTGAGCGAAAGAGCCGGAGGACTCACCCTACCTTCTCCAGATACTCCCAATACTCCATCTGGCTCGGGTCGTTGCACAGCCGGGTCAAATACCACTTCCAAAAAATCTTGCGGCGCTCCACGTGCGGACTGTCGATGGTGAAGAGATCTTCCACGTGCGCGTGGCAGGCGGTGTTGCGGGTCCGTAACGCGCGGGCTGTGATGTCGAACTCGAGCATTTTGGAATACAGGCGATGCGTGAGGTCTGGGATCGCCGTCTTTAGGTACTTGACGCCTTTGTTGAAGACGATTATATCATCTTGTAGGCAAATCCAGGTCAGAAACTTATTCGGAACAATCAGGGAGAAATCTGCACCTTCCACCAGATTCAAAAAGGCCTTCAAATACGCAATGCGCTTCTTGAAGTCCGTGTATAGCTCCCGACGATCCACATGTCGAATATCAAACTGATCCAACTTCGGCCGATTCGGCATGGTGGCAAGATGTGTAGCTGATAGTTCCCGATACCTTTGGTGTTGGATGGTGAGATATCCAATTCACGTGCACTGAGAATACAATAAAGCGAGTGAGGGTATCAGAGGAGTCAGTGGCCAGCCACTAAGCACTGCTTTTATCGTGGGTGGATTAGTAGGGGTCAAAAAGATCACGAATCGTTGGACGTAAAAGAAAAAACAGCGCAGGGCCTCGCGTGTGTCAGGGACAGGAGGACCAGCATTTGTACTATCTCCGAGCAGCAACAGCAGCAGCAACAGCAATCTAACTACCCTCAGCACGCGAATTTTCAGCCCTCGAGTGCCTGCCTGCCTTCTTCGGGGAATCTGGGCCCTGTCGCACGCAACCCGAGGAGCTGACTTCCCTGCCATGCTCCACAGGACCACCGCTACAGCAGGTACACACATCCAACGTAAGCCCCGAGCATGCGCTCATCTCCACGGACTTGTGCGAGGGGAGAGCGGACAGGACAGACAGGACAGGACAGGACAGGACCGCCCACCATTATTTTTCTCCAGTCGGCACTGCCCACTTTCCTATCCCACCCGCCATCATCCTGCCCCATCAAAGACCGGCGCTGAGCACGACTCATGTCGCGGCCCAATGGCCAAACGGCAAATAGATTAAGATGGAATTGAAGCGAAAGACAAGCGCCCCCCACTCTCACCGGAAAAAGGCGAAATCTTTCCCCTGTCATTAGACCCAGATTCGAGATTGCGAGTGGTCCAGCAGCTTTTCAGCTCGCGCCGGGTACCATTGCCCCGATCCCACCCCGCAATTGGGTGGACAATGTTGAATGGACATAGTCATGGGTGGGATTGGTGGTGGAGCATTCATGAACGGAGATGATCAGTAGGGTGAATCGTCATAAGGGGGGCGATCCCCGAACCACACGAGGAGGGGCTCGGCCGAGGGCAGGTTTGTCTAGGCCGGAATATCGCCGGAGGGGGTGATCAGAGATGGTCGTATTCAAGGATCATAGTTGATAGTGACAGGAATAGGATAGGACAGGACGGATGGGTGGATTAATGGCGAAGACCGCATGGTATTGGTATTGTTTTGCTGTTGAATGTTGCGGCTGCTGGCGTTGCCCGCGTGCGTTTTGCCGTCGTCGGAAGGGGCCGGAAATACCGGGCATCGATCTCGGGGGAGAGTCAGCACAGGCACACCTGGAAAAGCAAGCGATCAGGCCACTTGAAACAGCCACCAATGACCATGTTTGGTCTAGATAGGTCGAATCATGTTGGAGATTGCAAGTGGAGTCAGGCACCGATCTATATTGGCCTTACCAGGCCTCCCTTCAAAAAGCTCCAGGTGTCAGTCAATTCGATCAGTTGTTAACTTGTTTCCAATGGTCGAGATGGATGGAAAGAAGCTACCTAGTACGGGTTCAACAACAACAAAAAAGGAGCCAAACAATAAACAAATACGAACCAAGCTAAGATCCTTAGATAAGCGTAGCCAACAACAGCCATGTTTACCACCGCCACCATGCATGTATAAGACATCCATCCCTGTCCAACAACCAGATAAAGAAACAAATCCATCGCTTCATCTATCGGGTCTTGTCCGAACACGAGCCCAGAGGAACAAGCCCAACATGCATCGAGAATCATGGAATCAACTCCGCTCGTGACAGTAGAGCTAAACATGAGCAATTATCTGATCTATCCACCAGACAGTCGCTCTACGAACCCGGTTTCACGTTGTAATCCACACGAGGGGTCTAGAAGGGCCAAGGATCCCCAACTAGGGTATGTTTCAAATGTCACTGCACTCGGTCCCAGGAACCTAGACGCACCTGCATACAATGAGCGCGGGCTATAGTTGCCTGTGAAGGCGTGACCCCCACCCACTCATCTTAATACATCATCATTCTAGCGCTCGAGTGCATCACTACTACTTATGATGTACACATATACCCCCTATCACGAGGTAATGCACTGTCAAAATTCCTCGTGGATTTTGCCCGAGAAGGCAAGCTGAGCTAGTGGTGGGATATCCATTCGACTCAGCAGTTGTGCCTCTCGACATGTCAACAGCATCGGATAGAAGAATAAGCACTTGCTCTAGTGGTCAGATTATACGGAACGGTCCAAGAATCCAAGAATTACCTTCAATTGATGTCCTATACTGCTTGTATTATACAACCACCGCAGAAAGAACCAAACGTCTAGGCCCCATCAAAGGCATGCATGCATGCATCACAGCAAAGCAAATCGAAAAAATAATAAGACTGACTAGGGTATGTATCAACATGGCTGCAAGATCATTTTCATCCCAAAAAAAAAACAAAACAGACTCTAATGCGCAAATCACAGCTCTAGGCTGGGAGTCTGTCCCTTGACGCGACCAATCACAATGTGGGCAGCGTACTTGGGGATGACCTCGTCGTCGTGGAGCATCGCGAATTCTAAAGTAGCTATGGTCAGTCTCATTCTTCTTGACATCATTCACGAGGGAAAACACACCTTCAGTGGCATCGCGACCCATGAAGTTGAACAAAGCATTGGCGCCACCGGGGTGCTCGTCCAACCAGTTGGTCACGTCTAATACAACACCCTTAACCACGATCCACAGGTCCTCCTTCTTGTTGTGCTTGGCCACCTCCTCCATGGAGTACTCCGTCTCGGGAATACTGAACTTGGCCGGGCTGGTGGGCTTGGCAGACTCTGGGGCACCCGCGGGGGTGGCGCTAGACTTCGCGGCCTGGACGGAGTCAGCAGGAGTTCCGGCAGCCGCGGAGACTTGACCACTACCACTACCGGCTCCAGTCCATTCGACGGCGATCTTGCCCGGGGTTGACGGGTCGATGTGCAGGGAGATTTGGCCCAGACGCTGTTGTGCGGTGGACGCGCCACCGGAGAGGAGACGCTTGAAGAGGAACTGGCTGGCGCTGTCACCGGCAACACGGCCGTAGACGACGCAGCCCAAGAGCGAAGAGCCACCCAGGCGGTTAGCGCCGTGGACACCGCCGGCAAGCTCACCGCAGGCGTAGAGACCCTCGAAGGGCTTCTGCTCGCTGTTCAGGACCTCGGCGTGCTCGTTAATCTCAATACCACCCATGGTGAAGTGAAGAACGGGCTCCATAAGGGCCACGTGGAAGTCATCATCGATGCTGAAAGGCAGGTTGTGGAAGAAACGCTTGCCCCAGGGGTCCTTCTTCTTGCCATCGGCGATGGCATTGTAGTCGTCGAAGGTCTTCTTGAGGGCAGCCTCGCCGCAGCCAATCTCCTTGGCGAGTTCCTTGCCGGTCATCTTCTTCATCAAGCCACGGCCGGAGTAGTGACGAGTGTGGAAGTCGAGCACATTGGAGGCCTTGCTGTTGAGCACAAGGCGGATGGGCCATTTGTTCTTCTCCTTCTCCTTCCACATCTGTCCAGAGACGTAGTCACGGTGACCCAGCTCATCCGAGAACCGCTCACCGTCCGAGTTGAGGAGAAGACCACCCTCACCACGGAGCGCCTCAGCAGCCAGGAACTTGAACTTGGCGGTGGGGTCCTTGGGGTCGACAAGACCCGTGGGGTGCACTTGGACCTTGTCCATGTCGATTCCGTTGGCGCCGATCTCCATCAACATCTTCTGGCCATCACCCGTGGCGTGGGTGCCGTTGGTGCTGGACAGCCCGAAGGTGTCCGGACGGTGCTGCTTGAGCAGTGATCCATCGCCAAAGTCGGCAGCGTAGCCACCGGTGGCCAGGACGACCACACCATCAGCAGTGTGCGTCTCGCCGTTGTACTCGAAGGTGACACCTGTCACAGTATTCCCGGACTTGTTGATGGAGGTAACGCGGGCCTTCTTGATGATCTGGACACGGTCGGGCTCCGACTCGGTGAGCTCTTCTAACCGTTGCATGAGGGCGTAGGTGATGGCCATTCCGGGGAACTTGGCATCGTGACCACGGTGTGTGCGGGGCTGGGAGTGACCACTGCGCAGAATTAGCATGATGGCTCGAAGTCACCAAGAGTGTCCGGTTACAAAGCAAAACTCACCCCAGGCGGGAAACTAGCGTCAAATCGAGGTTGAAGACATCCTGCAGCCACTCGACCGCGGAAGCAGAATTGTAGGTCAGGACCTTGATGAGGTCCGGACGAGCTTTATCTCTGGCCGATTTGAGGGTATCTTCGTAGAAGGTCTTGACACTGTCGGGGATTCCCAGGTCGACCTGGGTGCGGGTCAGGGCGCCATTGATACCGGAAGTAGCCTTGGTGGAGTTGCCACCGAAGAAGGCTGTCTGGAGTTAGCCTCGAGGACAGAGATGGAATATGGCGGTATCGAACTGCGATCCCAATCTTATCACTCGCCACTTCAAGGGAAAAGAAAACGCACCCTGCTTGTCTAGAACGAGGACATTTCCACCGTTGAGGTAGACGGTGTGGGCGGCACTAAGACCGGACACTGAGCGACGAGGCAATGGTCAGCAATGCGGGGAAAGCTGGAAACGGTTAAGTCGGAGTCACTCACATCCACCGCCAACTACAATAATCCTGGGGGCAGTCGTCATGATGTGGGTGAGTGTGTGAAGGGGATGGAGGATAAGATGAGTCGGGGTGAAAAAAAAAAAACAGAAGATAGATTGGGAGAAGGAAAGGTAAAAGTATTTGAAGAGAGACAACAATGAATGATGGGCAGATCTTAAGAGAAACCCCCAGTGATCCGGGGGAGCGAGAGAGAGCGAGAGGGAATTCCAATGTTCAGAAGCCGATCGGGGGAGAGCTGCTTTATCGGCCGAGGCTCATCCCATACCCTGTCCATACCATACGTATCGATACCGTCTGCCTGCCCCAGCTCTAATCCTCAGGTACTGTACGGAGTACGGGAACAGCTAATACTGGCAGACTAAATACATCTTCACTCAGTCTGTGCTATAGTACTCTACACCGTAGCACATATCAATCAACAGGGTGACCTCAATCAGACTGCTCATCCAGAACTAGAAATCCAACGACCTTGAGGAGGATGATAACTACAACCTGCCCACTGGAATGTATGTTCATGTATGTATATTGACACACGAACCTCGCCCCTTCAAGCTACGTATCCTCCCAACCATACCATCACATGCCGAAACGCGAGTTGGTTTTTTCCCCAGAAAAGTCAGCAGATGCTTTCTTTTCCCCAGCCCATGATGATGACACAATGGAGCTCGAGTCCCTTTCACATGCCGCCGCTGGGAAGAGCAAATGAGCGTGTAGGCTTAAGTCAGCCCGTCATTCCCTCCCCCGCGCGGACGATCACTTGGTTTTCTCCATCTTGGAAGTTCCAGTTTCCAGTGCCACTGTTTAAGGTATCTTTCCCCGCCTGGGGAAATCCTAGCTGTGTGTGTCTCCCTAAAGCACTTGAGCACTTCAGCACTTACGAGATTCCTACAACTAACTTACCGTTACCATTGAGTCTTCCTATCTTATAGTCATCGAGACGAAACCAGTTGCAATACACCCAAAACATAAACCAGTAGATACCTTTGTAAGCTGGAGCTGTGAATCAACCAACCAACCCAAGAAATGAACACACCTCCCCTTTCTTCAGCGGACTAACACCCCTGTCCAAGTCGAATGTACCTCGGACCGAAGAATAAGATGGTGGCTTGATTGATCTACTTCAGTACAGTAGTTCCCCTCCCGAGTCAATAGGTGAGCCATACCGACCCTTACCTCCTCACCTTGAAGGACAAGACTACCATCTCAAGCGACATCAACCACACAAACAACCACTACTCCCAGAACATCCAGACCGTACAAGACGCGGTACTGTACCATAATACCCCACAGTCCACCCTCATGGTACATGTAACTAACGCCAGATTACCCTCCAAATCGGCAATTGATCACCTGACCCAGACAGGTCGGCTACTGCCCACCCCTGCCCTGCTGACACCACCACTTAATCCCACCAATCAGCTCGGCCCCCCACGAATTCCGAACTGCACCCATGACGTAGAAGCTGTCGTCTATTGAAATTCCCGGATTGAGAAGATTCAGTTGCCGCCCTGGGCATGCACGCATCCGTCATGCTCATAACTCAACCCCTATCTGCATGCGGTGGGTTTAAGGTTATCAACAGAACGATGGGATAGAGAGAAGGGATCTTGAAGGCTTGGCTTGGTATGGAATTCTGTCTGCTGTATTGTTGCATGGTTTGCGAAGCTTGTTTCTGTAATTTACCTTCTTCGATGGGGCTTCACCCTCGGAGCGAGATAGCCCGACCGTAGGGGGACGAGACGTCGGGGATTCGGGGTAATTGCTGCTGGTCGGTTCGTGATTCCCTGCTGTTTGTGCGAGCTGGCATGTCATATATGGGTGATTCTCGGGGTAATATCTACCTCTCGCGAGGGAGGGATACGTTGGGAGGGGGCATGTTGATGCGTCCACGGGGGGGAAGTATGTCAGGTTCATCGCTCCCGGCGGTCGGGATATCATGCACACCGCGCTAAAAAAAAGGTTTCTATATACAGTACATCAGATCGTTTGGATCTTGCTTGCTTGCTTTTACGTCGGGTCTAGTCCATCCAAGTCACGCTCTTGGTGACAAGGAATTCCTCCAGTCCTTGGGATGAGTTGAACCGGCCCCATCCGCTGTTCTTCACTCCGCCGTGGGGAAGGACGGGCTCGTCATGGACAGTCATGCTGTTGATATGGACGGCACTGCAAGCGTGGCGGTTAGCAAACTGGATTCGGGAGTCAGGCACAGAAGGATACGTACCCTGATTGGATTTTCCGCGCCATCGCCAGACCTTTGCGCAGGTCCTCCGTGAACACCGCCGCAGACAGGCCATACCCACTGTTATTCGCCAGGCGGATGGCTTCTTCGTCGCTGTCCACCACCATACAGGCCGCCAACGAAGCGAAGGCCTCTTCTTGCCATACGGCCATGTTCTCCGTCACATCGCCGAGAAGAATTGGGGGCATGCGCACGCCACCTCCAGCCTGGGCTGTCTTCTCATCCACCGAGCCAGAAAGCAGCTGGGCGCCATTCTCAAGGGCATTCCACACCAGCCGTTCGACCCGCTTCTTGGACGCTATGTTGACCAGCGTCGGAGGAGGCGACGAGGAGTCAAGGTTGAAGTTAAGCGCCGCCTTGAGCGCGTCGATGAAAGCCGGGGCGATGGAGGAGTGGACAAGGATGCGGTCCGTGGACATGCAGATTTGCCCCGACTACAGTGGCGTCAGAATGTCCCTCCCCCTCAGGAAATCGGATAGCAAAAAGAGAACTTACATTGAGGTAAGCACCCGCTAGGACGCCCTTCACGGCGGTCTCAATGTTGGCATCCGCGCGCACGATCGCACTGTTCTTGCCGCCTAACTCCATCAAGCAGGGCTTGAGGTTCTGCCCACAGACCGCGGCAAGCTTTCGGCCCACGGCCGTGCTGCCGGTGAAGTTGATTTTGCGCACCGCCGGGTGCTCAACCATGGCATTGACTACCGCAGGGGCATCCTGCGGCCGGCAGGAAATCAGGTTAAAGCAACCGGCTGGCACGCCTGCATCCACGAACGCACGGGCCAGTGCCCAGTAGCTGCAGGGAGTAGCTTCGGAGGATTTAAGGATGGTTGTGTTACCGGCGGCGAGCGCGCAGGCGGCCGCACGAACACCAAAGACGTACGGGGCGTTCCTTTTTTGGACAAAGTAAGTCAGTCAATCTAATCGCACATCCCCGAGTTGTGGAGAGAACGTTGCCTGCCTTGCTCAACGACTGGGAGAACACGAAACATACCAAGGGACAATGCCCAGAATGACCCCCATGGGCTCCTTGTAGATCATCGCACTTTGACCCTCTTCCTCAACGACGGGCACACTGCCACAAATGGAAGTGATGCGCCCCGCGATGTCCCTGAGCATGCGAATCCCGAGTGGAACGATGAAGAACTGCGACGCACCCACATCGGCGCCCATCTCCGTCCGCATGTACTCCGCGTTCTGCTCGAGGCGACTTTCCAGAATGTCGGCCGCCTTCAGGAGAATATCCCGCCGCACGGTGGGTTTGGTCTGCGACCACGCTGGAAAGGCCGCCTCTGCTGCCTCCACGGCGCGGATGGCATCTTGCGGGGAGGCAGAGGCAGCTGCCCAGCAAGGCTCGTTGGTGTAGGGGCTGATGACGTCGAATGTAGACTCTGCTAACTCCTCCTTTCCATTGATGATCAAGGGGATTACCGGGGGACGAGTGGGAGGTGCAGTCACCGCTGGTTTGGTAGCGAGGGGAGTATTCGTCATGGTGGGAAGGTAGGTGGTCTGTGGTATACTAGACTCAAAATCAAGCAAGTAGATCAAAGCATGCACTGGAATTGATATACACCCTGGCGAAAACCTGCAGGGTCCTGGCTTGGACCCCGCCACAGAGAGGGAGTGCGATCTCCATTTTAAGTATGGCTGCTGGGTTGGCGAGGGAAGAATAAACCAGGTCAACAAGACCGGGTCGGACGGTTAATCCCCACTTCCGACTCAGCCTAGAGACTGTAGCTATGATTAGTGCAATCAACCATCACTTATTCTTGGTACTTATGGTCTCAGTGCAATTTATTCCATGTCATGCGGATTGTGGCCTTGAATTGGACCTTCTCAAGGCTATACTACTGAATATGCTCATGCTGCAAGTGATTCATTGTCCACATGCTTTGCACATGGCATGCCGTCATGCCAGTCGATCCCAACGATGATTCTTACCTATTCCAGCTGACAGCGGATTAACCTTACTGAGACTATTGAAGATGCTAACTGCCCTAGACTCAACCTTGTCCCCCAAACGACGTACCAAGTGATTCTTTCATCGATTTAAGAACTGTGTGTGGGCATCGTTCCGGTGCATTTGAACAGGAGGTCATCTCCCTTGACTTGCCGGCCTTTTTAAACCGATGGGCACTGCACCGTGGATTTTAGGTAACGCACGACCTTTCTGGGCGTCACGGACAATTGATCGGCGGTGCCGACCATGGTCCAGCACCGCGAAAGGTGTAGACTATTGCTCCTAGTCAACAAGAAGAGCAGGACAAACCCCATTGGCAAAGATCGAGGGAGCACTTTTGTCAGCGCAATCAATTGGGCGAAGCGATGAATCGGTTCTGGACTCTTTACGGCCGAAAGCACAGGATTCAATTTCGACTCCAATTGTCTGTGGTGGTGGAGTCTCCACTCAGCGTGGTGGAGCAGCCTGGCCGAAGGGGAGACTCGGTGGGTTCTGGCTTCCTGGCATCTTGGTCAATCAAAGGGCGATCTGACTCCGATGATCATCTGTATCGGGGAAGAGAAGAGCTGAAATGCTCCATCCCAGTTCCCTCTTTGGCTGCTAGGCTGCCATTCATATGCGCATATTTGTCTGCCCACACCGGATTTGACCGGCCAGTAGTCGAATCGATCGTGCAGGTGCAGAGCGATGGTGGTGAGTGCGCGACTTGTGGAAGATTCCATCTCTTGATACTCATAATTGTCAGATTCTCTCCAACTTTGTGTCACGAGAAAAGGAGGCTGATGCCTCGGTTGCCATATTATTTTGTACTACTCCGTAAGTATATAGGCAATCAATCGAAAGCCGATGGTCGTCAAGCTTGACTAAATCGGTACCGTCATAACTAATTAACTAACCTCCATGGTCCGAACCCGCGGAACCCCGCCCTGAGCCGATTGAGGCAAGCGTGGCGGGATGGCGCCGAATTCCCGTCGGAGTTTGAACTGACTCGTTCCAATCTCTCTCTCTCTCTCTCTCACACACACGCACACTCTCTCCCGCTCCTATCCGTCCAGAACCCTTGGTTCTTGGGTTCTTTCTTTGGACGGTGGAGCTCAATTCTAAATGGCACGAGCCATCCCATCTGCAAACCGCTAGTCGTGCGTGGTTTCACCTCCTACTCTATTTGCATAATCAGCATAATCAATGGCTGCTCCTGCTCCTGCCTTTTCTAGAATAACCGATGCATCAGGACGATAATCCCTGTATAAGCTCATTTGGCCGAGTCTACGAACCACCCGCAGAAAATTTCGGTCACCGCTCTGCAGAGAACCCCTCATGAGGAGTTGGTTACGTGCATACGAACTCCAACGTTGCCTTGCCACGAGCTGACGCAGATCCTCTGATCTCGGCTCGTGCTTTCTCAAGATCGGCGGGTGAAGGCCTCTTTTGCCATGTTGAAGCAATCACCTACTCCACCGTGGCAGTAAAGTGGTCCTAGTCATCGGTGTCGAGCTGGGAACGAGATTGCTCAGTGCTTCACACAATGTCTCAAGCTTCCAATAAATGACAAATGCGCCAGTTCACAAGCACTAGTAGGCGAGGATCCTTCGCTCCGGAGTTCCTCTGCTGGGACCCATCGGGCAGGTTCTCATATGATCTGGCTATGCAATGTGTAGTCTACATATTGAGCGGGTTTCCACTTCTTTCTCCGTATTCCGTGAGCCTCTGTCTTCATTTATGCTAATTGCTGTTCGACCTAGGGGTGGCTCTCATATTGATCTTCAATATCTGGGATCGCTACAACACTTTTCTGAGGCGTTGATACCACTGGCTGGGGCCTAGGATCCACCCCCGTGTACATACTCAATCAACGATGTTGTGATTGTCACATTTCACTTAAACATATACCCAGTCATTCATTTTACCCAAATCCATTCTCTCCATCCAACTATAAACCTTTTGCCAATACATCCACCATGGTCCTCACTGCGAGAGGGAAGGAGATGATATGCATCGTGTCGGTGCTGGTCGGTCTCTCCTTTGTTGCAGTCATACTGCGTGCGTTCGCCAGACTGAAGCGACGAGTACGCTTTGGCGTTGACGACTATCTTTCCTTTGCGTCGATTATACTCCTCCTCGGCATGCTGATCGAACTGGGGCTCTGTAAGTCGAGCGACGCTGCCATCACCTCGAAAGCCCGCTAACCTCACACCCAGGGGTGACCATTGGAGGCAACGGAGCCCACCAAAACAGCCTGAATAATGACACCATGATGAACTTCTACAAGGTAAACCCATCTGTCCCATCTACAGACACCCGATCAAGCAACTGACCGCCCGAACACATAGATCTTCCTGGCCAACCAATTCACCTACTTCCTCCTCTGCCCGGCCATCAAAATCTCGATCATCTGTTTCTACCGCCGGGTCTTCACAACCAAGCCCTTCCAATGGATCACCCTGGGGATCAACATCCTGATCACCCTGTGGGGGATCGCCATCTTCCTGGCCTGCGCGCTGCAGTGCCGGCCGCTGCGCGCCTACTGGGACCACAGCGTAGCCGGGCAATGCCTGGACGGGATGACGCTGATCATCACGAACCAGGCGTTCAACGTGCTGATGGACTTTGTGATCTTGGTGCTTCCGATCCCGATGATCTGGGGGCTACACCGCGCCTGGCAGGACAAGCTGGCGCTGAACGGGGTGTTCGCGCTGGGCGCCTTCGTCTGCTTCGCCAGCATCTACCGGATCGTCGTCCTCTTCTGGATCGACAACGCCGACACCACCTACACCGTCTACCAGGCCACGCTGTGGACCCACGTCGAGCCCTCCATCGGGCTCATCTGCTCGTGTCTGCCCATCATCCGCGGCCTGTTCCCGCGCTTCAAGGTCCCCAGCCACCGCCGCTACCGCTCCGCCCCCTACTACATCCCCACCGACGTCAGCACCTCGCAGTTCGTCGTCTCCACCGGCGCCAAGTCATCCCCTAGCGGTGCTGCTGCGGCGGCGGCGGCGGCAGCCTC